CATTGATGACATCTTCATCATCTGGACCCATGGAAAAGAAGCCTTGAGGAATTCCACGATGATTTCAACAATTTCCATCCCACCATCAACCTCAGCCTGGACCAGTCCACACAAGAGATCCACTTCCTGGACACTATGGTGCTAATAAGCGATGGTCACATAAACACCACCCTATACCGGAAACCTACTGACAGCTATTCCTACCTACATGCCTCCAGCTTTCATCCAGACCACACCACACGATCCATTGTCTACAGCCAAGCTCTATGATACAACCGCATTTGCTCCAACCCCCTCAGACAGAGACAGACACCTACAAGATCTCTGTCAAGCATTCTTACAACTACAATACCCACCTGCTGAAGTGAAGAAACAGATTGACAGAGCCAGAAGAGTACCTAGAAGTCACCTACTACAGGACAGGCCCAACAAAGAAAATAACAGAACGCCACTAGCCATCACCTTCAGCCCCCAACTAAAACCTCTCCAACACATCATCAAGGATCTACAACCTATCCTGAAGGACGACCCATCACTCTCACAGATCTTGGCAGACAGGCCAGTCCTTGCTTACAGACAGCCCCCCAACCTGAAGCAAATACTCACCAGCAACCACACACCACACAACAGAACCACTAACCCAGGAACCTATCCTTGCAACAAAGCCCGTTGCCAACTGTGTCCACATATCTATTCAGGGGACACCATCATAGGGCCTAATCACATCAGCCACAATATCAGAGGCTCATTCACCTGCACATCTACCAATGTGATATATGCCATCATGTGCCAGCAATGCCCCTCTGCCGTGTACATTGGTCAAACTGGACAGTCTCTGCGTAAAAGAAAAAATGGACACAAATCAGACGTCAAGAATTATAACATTAAAAACCAGTTGGAGAACACTTCAATCTCTCTGGTCACTTGATTACAGACCTAAAAGTGGCAATACTTCAACAAAAAACCTTCCAAAACAGACTCCAACGAGAGACTGCTGAATTGGAATTAATTTGCAAACTGGATACAATTAACTTAGGCTTGAATAGAGACTGGGAGTGGATGGGTCATTACACAAAGTAAAATTATTTCCCCATGTTTATTCCCCCCTGTCGTCCCCCCCCCCACACTGTTCCTCAGACGTTCTTGTCAACTGCTGGAAATGGCCCACCTTGATTATCACTACAAAAGGTTCCCTCCCACTCCGCTCTCCTGTTGGTAATAGCTCACCTTAAGTGATCACTCTGGTTACAGTGTGTATGGTAACACCCATTGTTTCATGTTCTGTATGTATATAAATCTCCCCACTGTATTTTCCACTGAATGCATCCGATGAAGTGAGCTGTAGCTCACAAAAGCTTATGCTCAAATAAATTTGTTAGTCTCTAAAAAAAAAAAAAAAAAAAAAAAAAGTCCACTGAATGCATCCGATGAAGTGAGCTGTAGCTCACGCAAGCTTATGCTCAAATAAATTTGTTAGTCTTTAAGGTGCCACAAGTACTCCTTTTCTTTTTACGAATACAGACTAACATGGCTGCTACTCTGAAACCTATAATTACAGAAGTGTTCTTGTTCTGTTTACTCTCCGGAATCTAAAACTTGGATTTGAGTAGCAAGCTTCAGAAGCAGGATTCTGAATATTTTAACTTATAGTAGATAAACAAATTTCTCTTTCTTCTGCAAATTATGCCCTTGATTTTGTCACTGAATCTGAAAGGACAGACTCCTACACTCACACGGAACCCCAATGAAGTCTATGGGGCTGTATGTGGATGCAGGAATCTGCATGCATGCAACATCTACAGGAGTGATTGGGGCTTTATATTTCTTTTCTGCTGAGTAAAACCAGAAGTAGACATATGTTATATCTGACATTTTAAAATCTGTGTTAGATGGTAAAATTCAGAATGTTGTCATCTCTGTTTTGCTTAACAGTTTCTTGAAAATAAAAATATTATAGAATAATATACATTATTTGAAAATTGTGTAGAAAATTGAGGTAATTTATATTCCTACAACTCTGTGTCACATGTGTGAGTTTAGAAGTACAAGAGGGGTAAAATATCCACCAGAGACAAACATTTGTGAGGCATTTCGCCAGCACAGACTGGTTTTCATACACGAATTTAAGAAAGGTTACGTAATCCTATCAAATGTTATAAGACCCAATCTGTCTGGTGCAGAGGGCCCTCAATTTCCTTTGATTTAAAGGGGAGTTGAGGGTGCTCAGTTAATAAGCAAGAGTCTATGAGTTAATAATAAGGAGTTTAAAGCATGAGAGGTAAAATCTAGTAGCAAATACATGCATAATGTCATAAGTGCTAAAGCAAAGAAATAATTTACTGTACTAAAAAAGCTGTTGCTATAATTTGCTGATGTTTAGTTCTGTGGTGTTATTTCTAGCATGAAGAAATCAGAGATGGACCAAATTAGCTGAAAAGTGCTAAATGAGCTTGTTAACATGTACTGACTATCCCATTAATCTTCCCCTGACAAACATTGGGAAAAGAGCCTTTTTATAGCTACATTTTGAGTAGCTTTGTACATTTATACGTTGCTTATGTGGTTTTAGAAATGTAAAAATATTAATTTAAAATTAACACTGGAAATATATTTTTTCTTTGCTTACAAACCAGATCACTACCATATTGTACATTTGTTTCTTCTGTGTACACATCTTGGGGAGGGGAAATAGCTTTGCTTGCTTGTTGCTTCAGCTGATACGGCACTGTTTGATCTATCATCATCGAGGAACAAAAAATGCAGTTTGAAAGTACATGGCTTGCTGCCTTCATGTCTTTTTATGTTTTATAGCACAGCTATCTAGAATACTGGTGTGCATGGTGTGTTTTAAAAAAAGATAAGTAGGAGAGAATTCAGAATAAGCAGAGGCATGTTCTCTGCATCTGTGTTTCCTCAGTTCCTCACTTTAATTTCTCTAACATCTTACCCACTGTGATAGGCTCTTCTAAAGGAATGGAAAGAACAGCCTCTCCCAAAGGGTAAGTGATTGAACACAGGTTAGCTAATGGATTTAACCTTTTCCAGAACACAGACCTAAGGGAAAATAACATTTGGTAGTCACAACATACAGTAGCCCCACCAGGAAAACACTCCGTGGTTTAGACCATTTCAGCAGAGTTTTCTTTCTCTTTTAAATGAGTCCCATGACTGGAAGAGTTTGAAAATTTGTAAGTCAGTACTCATATGCATTGGCAAAGTTGCGTAGGGGGGTTGCAGAGTGCCTGCTTCAACTGGGGTTTGCTTTTTATAGTGATATCAGACTAGTACTTGCTTGAATATTAACTATCACACCAAAACCAGAAACCACTATGGATCTGGCTAGCTATGCATTTATACAGTGCTCTTCCATGTTATTTTTGAACAATTTAAATATTCAGATTATAAGGTCCTTGAGTTCTTATTCCATATGGCAAAATTCAGTAGTTTTAAAACAAATTGGTGGAAAGGTTATGCTAGTAAAAGGTGCCCAGTTGGGCAGCTCTTTGTTTGTCCATGGAATAGATAAGAGTGCTGGCAACAACAGTGCAGACTTCCTCAAAGTACACTGCCCCAATCCTGGCATGTAGGAGCCCTTTCTACCAGCAAATTAATAGTTCATTCTCTACACCCCATTCAGTTATAGATTCATAGATTCCAAGGCCAGAAGGGACCATTGTGATTATCTAGTCTGACCTGTATAATGCAGGCCTTAGAACTTCCCCAAAATAATTCATAGAACATATTTTTTAGCAAAACATCCAATCTTTATTTAAAAATTGTCAGAGATGGAGGATCCATACCATGAGCTGTGGTAAATTGTTCCAATGTTGAATTATCCTCACTTAAAAATTTACAGTATATTTCCAATCTGAATTTGTCTAGCTTCAACTTCCAGTGATTGGATCATGTTATACCTTTGTCTGCTAGATTTAAGAGTAGGGTGGATAATAATCAATGATTTTTTTAAAAAAAATCAAATTTTTTAAAATTTAAATGAGAATTTTTTAATTTAAATCAGATTTTTTTGATAAAATGCTTTTTGAGGAAAATACCTATCTAAAGATAGTTTTAATTAAGATACATTATAGCTCAAAGATATCTCATCATGGAATAGGGATTATAAATTCTAATTCTATAGTATGAGACAATATATTCATGTAATGTTTAAAAAAAGTTTTGTAAATGAGTCCCAATAGTTCATGGATTAGGGACCCAATCTTATGGCGTTCCAGGGGATTCTGTATAGATTGTTTAGGTTAATATTTCTGTCTACTCAATGAGACTCAGTGCTCAGTCTAGAAGATACCATCAGAGATGCTTAATTTTGCAGTTCTAAAACTGTGGATTTGTGTCTCCAGAGTTAACATGCTTGTTAACTGCAAAAATGTTTTTAAATAAATAAATAATATATAGAGGTGAGAAATAACAGACTGGAACCCTATTGTCCCTCTGCAAATTTGTGTACACAGAGTCCATCCCTTACCTCTCTCTAAAAGTGCAAAGTTTCAAAAAGTTCAATGAATAGAAGATTGTTTGGGGCGGAATAGATCTGGACAAGAAGAAGAAGTCTAGAGATTAATGTGAGAAGGGAGGGACAGGCAGTAGAAACAAAAGTGGAATTGTTTGGCAGCATATTCCAGAAGTCTTGAGGTCTTTCTGAGCGTAGCCTTCATTAATTTGAGATCTACCATACCATTCTCTCTCTAGAAGGGAACACCTATAATGGCAGCAGGCCATAAAAAAGACCCAGTTTGGGAATAAGAACCATTCAAGAAATATATGTTTGCTGATGATGTTTTAAAGTAAGTCACCCCAGTGAACTGCTGGAAGTCACTTAAGCACTTGGATTCAGAGACTGTTGAAGTGTAATCTCACTTTTAACAGCAGTAGCTTCTTCTGCCAGTGTAGAAAGAATATTTTCTTCCTTTGGAGTAATTCATTCCAAATTGAGAAATTATTTGGGACCTGAAAAAGCAGCAAAGCTTGTTTTTCTTTTCCAGATTATGAACAAACAGGAAAACGAAGGTGAAGATGACTGAGTTAGCTGCAGAAGCCAATATATTAAGATTCTCATGTTGACCTGGCTGGCATCGTCAATTTAATTTTTTTTTTTTAAATTTCATTTAACTGTTTTACTTAAAAACAATTTTAACAAAAACAAACTTGATTTTAAAAAACTTGAATGTTTAACTAAATTCAAAATTCATATGCTTGTTTTGTTAAAATATTATATGTTTGTTGTTGAAGAAAAAAATGCAGAATACATAATGTTGTTGTTTTAGTTAAATAAAACAATTTAAATGTCTGTCTGGTGATGTTCTCCTCCTAATACAACATGGCAAGAAAATCCTGCAAATATTAATGATTAACCTGTTGAATTGGAGATATTTATGAAGTCATTGTGAGGTGAACTATCTGCTTCAATTACTTTTGGTAAATGAAATAACCAAACAATCATTAATTTTCTGATATAGCTGTAAAACTAATCTGAAAAGTTTTCAAAATAAATCCCTTAAAAATATATAGTGTGTACCTTCTAAAAATGAAACCTACCTATATCTCTGAGTTGTGAAGAATATATATTAAGGTTATAACAACCATCAAGAATGCATTTTTATGTAGAAATCCATGATTAAATCAAGTCTTCCTGACTAGTGATTTAAATCATGATTAAATCAATTTGATTTAAATCAAATCCACCCTGTTTAAGAGCCAATTATTAAATATTTGTTCCCCACATAGACACTTATAAACTGTAATCAAGTCATCCCTTAAGCTTTTCTGTTAAGCTAAATAAATTGAGCTCTTTGAATCTATCACTGTAAAGCAAGTTTTCTAATCCTTTTATCATTCTTGTGGCTCTTCTCTGAACCCTCTCCAATTTATCAAAATCCTTCTTGAATTCTGGGCATCAGAACTGGACATTCCTGCAGTGGTTGCTCCAGTGCCAAAAAGAATAACCTCTCCACTCCCAGTGTTGCATTAACTCTTTTGACCACACCAACACACTAGGAGTTCATGTTCAATTGCTTATCTACTATGACCCCCATGTTTTGGCTGGGACTTCCAACACAGAGGCCAGGGAAGGGTAGTTGTAGTTTTTGTGATGTAGATACCTATCACCTATATCAGGGTTCGGCAACCTTTCAGAAGTGGTGTGCCGAGTCTTCATTTATTCACTCTAATTTAAGGGTTAGCATGCCAGTAATACATGTTAACATTTTTAGAAGGGCTCTTTCTATAAGTCTATAATATATAACTAAACTATTGTTGTATGTAAAGTAAATAAGGTTTTTAAAATGTTTAAGAAATTTCATTTAAAATTAAATTAAAATGCAGAGCCCCCCGGACTGGTGGCCAGGACCCGGGCAGTGTGAGTGCCACTGAAAATCAGTTCACGTGCCACCTTTGGCACCCATGCCATAGTTGCCTACCCCTGACCTATATACTGGACTGAGATCACCAAACTAAATTTGCATAGACTATCAAATAGTTATCAGATTAATATAATTTATTATGCTGGATTTGAATCAGTAACCGATGGGTTTGACCCAAGCCCATTGAAGTCAATGGGACTCTTTGATGTTAGTGAGAGATGGGTCATGTCCTATTTCACTTTCCATTAACATTTGAAAATTCTTTTTCCATTTCAAGATTCTGTTATTGCAACAAATATTTTATTAGCTGTGGTTAGGAAGTTGCAAACTAGCTGTGGCCATGTTATACATGATTTTTCATTGGTATGATGTAGCACTATTTTGCATAAAAACTGGAATATTAGGTCAATTACTCAGGGAGAAAAATATTCAATTTGTTCCATTGTGGGATAATAGGAGCTGCACGTTAATGCTAGGAATACATGAGAAAGATGGGTCTATTCCACACATATTTCTAAATTCACAACAATCTCCAGAGGAATAGGACATTAGTAATCAAAATGGAAGCTTCACTTGTAGAATTCTTTTTAATAATATGCTTTTAAAAAGCTGAGACCTGTTTTATAACATTATTAATGAACAACAGAATATGGACTGGAAGTGCCAATGTTAAAGGGTGATTTGGAATAAGAATTGGGGTAGTCATTAGCATGAAGTTCAATTGGCATATGTTTGTGAAATGTCTACATTTAAAAAAGAAAGCAAAACAAGAAAAACAACTCTCCCCTCCTCAACTTTCAATTTATACATGAAACATACATTGACATTTTTTGACAGAAAATAGGACAGGTTCAAGCCAGAAACATACTGCTTCAAATTATAATTTAATTTTTAACAGCGTTTCCTAATAATTCTCATCTCAAGAAATTATATGGTTTTTGTTTCTTCATCTTTTTATCACAGTATTTCCCTAATATGCTATAGGAAACAATCTTGCACTGGCATGGGGATGGGCCTGTAATAATTAATAGGTCTTTTCTGTTTATTAATGTTTATGATTCTTTTGTTATTTATTTGATAGTCACAAACCATTTAACAAACCTGTTAACCAATATTTGGATGTGTGGAGGAGATTTTCAAAGGCACAAATGGGAGTTAGGCACCTAAGTTATGTTGACCTTCAGTGGTAGTTTGGCACCTGTCATTTTTGCCTTTTAAAATCTCACCCATGAGGAATATTGTCACATTGTACTGTACCTTAAAGGACTACTAGTTAAAACATAAAAGAATAAGCAAACCAAGAAAATTTCTACAGTCTCTTAGAGATCTGTGTTACTTTCCAGCTTTTATAGTTTGTGATCCTAAGAAATGGAAATTCCTGAACTACTCATTGCAGACAGAAGAATCCCTAAAGATAACTAAGGGACCACTCCCTTAGGGGCTGCCGTGTGCTCTGGCTCCACTCCCAGCCACAGTCCCAGCGCAGCAGGATTTATTTTGGGAGCCCTAAGTCAGCTCTCTGTCCTCTTTACACCAAGGTGGACAGAACCAGAGGCCAGAATCTGAGAGCCTACTTTCAGTTCTTAGCTCAAGGACATTGTGTTGCTGAAATTCAAGAAAAATCTGCAGCTATCAAACCTATTTTTTTAAAGTGCAAAATAGTTGCTATTTTCTAAAAAATCTTCCTCCCTTCCCCTAAATACTACAAAAATTAAGTCAAAGAAGATGAGTTTAGAATTAAATACCACAAAATGATTTATGAAAATTTTAAATTTCTCTTTCGTTTGGACAAGCTCTGGCAGCAGATATCGGATTTACTTTATGAAGTGTATGCACTCCTTATTTTTTCATTATTAGCATTTGTTTTATTCTCACTGCAGCTCAGTGGGATTGCCAACAAGATATGAATAGAGTGTGAAAGTAAATTTGAGATGGTGCGACTGAGCAGAGTAATGTGGCCAGGGAGAATGTTTTCCTTCAAATCAATTCCCTTAAAGTGACTTTAAATTGAAGATCTCCTCAAACAAAACTCTAATGAAACCATTCTTCAAGGGATGCTCTGGTATTTGTGATAAGTAGCAAGCTTGAATATGCTGGTACAAAGAGGGTCTTACTCCATCTCCCCCTTATCATTTGTTTGCGTGGTACAAGAGTCTTTTAGATTGCATAGCAGGGGTCATTGCCAGCCTTTTTACCTATCCATGCAATTCTAATGCCCATCACCACTATATCTTTTCTCAACACAGGCCAGATATTTCTATCCTGTGAATTGTGAGAAACTTGGCTGCATGGTTTTAAATAAACAGACAAACTCACCAAAATTACACGTTGATCATATTTCTGCCTGCTGGAAGTCCCTCTTGGGGTATGTCTACACAGCATTTTGGAATGAGTGGGAGCAAGCCTCCCAGCCTGAGTTCACAAACTCGGGCTAGTGGGGCTCATTCTAGTACTCTAAAAATAGCTGTATAGACAGCCTTTTGGAGTTGCAGCTCAGACTCTAAAGCCCACCCCTCTCCTGAGGTTTCATTCCATTTCTCCCTCTCCTTGCTTGAGAAATGCAGCTAATAATGGGAGATTGGGGTTGCACTGAACCAATGGTGTGTCTCTTTACCTTTGACCTTGAGTGCAGATGCATTTGATCCTGATTAGAAGACTGTGGATGAGAGCATGCAGCAGACATGCTATTCCAAATAGGCTTGCTCTTATCGATAAGGATTAAGATGAAGGATGTTATAGCCCCGCCTCATGCCTCTATTGATCTATGAATGCTTTTCTCCTTTTTATTTGTTTACAAATTTATGAAGTATGAAAAAATGAAAACACATTAAAGTAGAAAGAAAGAAAGAAAGAAAGAAAGAAAGAAAGAAAGAAAGAAAGAAAGAAAGAAAGAAAAGCCACTTTCCTTGCTCAACCTTTTGATAACCCCTGACATCATTTGAACAGCTTCTCAGGGAGTGACCCAACTAGCAGGATCACATTCAGCTTTAGCAGATTCATATGCCAAGAAAGAGGATGAAATGGCGTAGGAATGGAAACTCAGCCCTCCTCTATGCCTTGCTTGTGCAATTAGGGCTTGATTCTATAGCAACTCCATATGAAGAATTCCCTCTGTTTTGTTGCAACGGGAGTTCCATATGGAGAACAGTTTAAGAATTTGGAGCTAATTATTTTCTTCACCTTGGCTATCAAATACTCTGTCAAATTACACAGCAGAGAGCATACTTATTTTGCACATGAAATTGGCAGAAGACTCAGCTTTGCAGCCTATTAAATGTACCAGCTTTCTCTGAAAAGCAAAACACCAGTACAGGGAAACACAGCAATTTCTATTCCTGAAGCAGCATGTTTGCTTTGACAGGCAGCTACCGATCTTCCAAGTCTTCTCAGTAGTTTCATAAAAAGGGTTGTCAATAATACCAGGAGACAAAACTGTCATCCTCTCATCATGCTGAACATTACCCAAAACTTTGATCTCCTGTTATTTCCCAATAATAGAGCTAACTAAGACCCATCCCATTCCCAACATATATTTTATTGCATTATTTTTGACATATATTTGGATAACATAGCAGTATGGGGACATTTACATTTATAAAAAGCAGTTACAGAGTATAGTATTGAAATGAATGATGTTATATAAATAAAAATTTCACATTAAGCAACAATCAGAACAATAATACCAAGAAAACAGAAGGAAAAAAAATTATGAAGAAAAGAATCGGAAGAGTCCTTAGAAAGAAGAAACTAATCTTTGGGTTTTGAACACCATTTAAACTATTACATGCAAAGTGATTAGTGCCCAAAGTCACAATGGTTGGTGTGTTGGGCCAAAGAGACTCCCTATGATAATATTTTCCTGTATCAACAACTGTTCAGAGGTTCTGTTAGATTAAGATACTCAAGGCCTAATTCAGAGTAATTTTGT